ACCGTGAACGCAACTTTCGTGGAATCACCGGTATTATTTAGCGACGATTAAGCCCTAATGAAGTTGCCCGCTTTGGGGCACTGGGGATTCGGAAGACTTCGGGGGCTGACGGGATTTTGGGCATTTGTTGGAGGGTTACGGGGAATTAAGGGAGCGACGAGGTGTTTGCGTTGTTGTATCAGGGATCGTGAAGATTTGGAGAAATATGGGGAGGTTGGGGTGAAATGCGGAGTTTTTTTTTAAATGAGAGAGGTATGCAGTCTTCAAATTAGGTATGGAATAATTAGATTCTCAAATTTATTGAGATTTTGAGTTGGTGAGATTTTCAAATTTATTTATTTCTGAATTATTTGGCCACTATAGTGTTTCCAAGGTCATTGGCTTCGCTATTTCCCTGTTCCTTTATTTCTTCATACCTCTATTCTCCTGTTTTCCTATTTCCCTGCTTAATTATTTCCCTGCTCCTTTATTTCCTTGATCTAAAGTCACTGGGTGCATCTAGCATTTTGTGAGTAGCTGCCATTTTGCAAGGAACCATTTTGTTTCCCTTGGAAGTTACACGTAGCTTCTTTATTTAAATGAAATTGAGGAGTAATAATGTTGTTAGTTTTCTGTATAAAGTCATCAAAATGGAAGAGACCTACCATTTTGTAAGTAGCTGCCATTTTGTAAGGAGCTGCCATATTGTTTCCCTTCGAAGTTACTTGTAGTTTCTTCATTTAAATCGAATTGTGAGTAGTAATATTATTAATTTATCTTTTCTGAATCACCTACTAATTGTATAACAGTTATAAATTCTTTCTTTCTTTATTTCAATCAAATTTAATAACATGCTTTATGAAAATACCTAACCTAACCGCACTGGCACGAGTATGTCTATATACGTACCGGCCAAACCGTGCAAGATACGACTTTTTGTCAAAGGACCAATCTTTCTTAGAATGTGCCAAAACCCTTAGGAAAATTGTCAGAAGTGCCTAAAAGTGCCCAATAAGGGCTCTGTAGGGTAGGGGGTGAGATTCCTAGCGAAAACTTAAATTTCATTTATCTTTAAAAATATTGGAGATACAACAAAATGTTATGAACAAAAATTATACGTTTTGAAGGGATAAATTATTTGGCGACGACAGATTTTTTGTTTGAGGAGAAATGAAGGTCAAGTACAATATTTTTAGTGCACCCTTATCTGGTTCCTTAGAATGTTTATGTTCGTTCGAACACTTATTCTAATAATACTTGTAATTTCTATTGTACCAAAGCTTGCATTTTATAAAGTATCACAGTTTAATATCACCTGCATTTAAAATCGTAAAATTGATATCACTGAGAGTGAAATTCCCAATAAAATGCAAAATTGTCAAATACCTCGATTGCACTTTGTAAAGGTCCGATTTTCACATTTTAATATCAGACTCGTTATAAACCATGAAATTCCAAATTGTTGAAAATTGATCTCGTCTTCAAAGAACGTATTCTCTGGCTAGTAACTAGAGTTACAATATTAATTTCCGTTTGTTCATATTACGGCTACAAGAGTTCCATAAACAGAGGGTTTTTCTTTCCCAGGGTTTCGATGAAAGAGAAGAAAAATGATCGAATTGAAATTCGAACGTTTACTCGTCCGTTCTAATCAATCGATGCGCGGAATATCGATGAATTCCTTTCTGCACTGAAAATGGCTTTTCACGTCTTTCGCTTAGAGCTTGAGATTATGCCAACTTCCGAGGAGAATGCTGGCTGAAACATCGTTCAACATTGATCTTTCTCATTCTTGGCAACCGTGGTTATACCAAAAATTTAATAACTGCTAAAAACTTGAAACAAATAAATCGGAATGATATTGATTTCCGATAACTTGAATGAACCTGATGTGATAATACTACAATGTGCGATATTGACAATGCTACGATTTGTCGGCGATAAATTTATCGACAAGCCGTGATAATTCTCGTAATTGTTAATAGTGCAAATAGTTGATCAAATACACACATCTGATATTTGCTTCCCTCTGTTAATACCTCAAATCTTCATGCATATTGCAACAATTTTGATTTCATTTTGCAGCCCTTGTCAATTGTATTCATTTCTCTAATTCGCATAATTACTATTAATTTGCATAATTTATCTTAAAATTATTTTGATGAAATTTGGAAATTGAAACATTAAAATATTGCTATAGAATTTGATAATTTGATGAAATCAATTTTTCAATATTATTTTGTAGAAAAATTTCTGAATTTCGTAGCAGAATATTGTAGTCAAAATGTTACAATAAAACCTTGATATAAATTTCTAAATTTTATTACAAAATATTTTAGTGAAATGTCAAAGCAAAATTTTGATAAAAATTTCTAAACTCCATACTAAAACATTGCTATCAAAATTTTGCTAGAAAATCTAAAAATCTAAAAATCTAAGAATCTAAAAATCTAAAAATCTAAAAATCTAAAAATCTAAAAATCTAAGAATCTAAGAATCTAAAAATCTAAAAATCTAAGAATCTAAAAATCTAAGAATCTTAAAATCTAAAAATCTAAAAATCTAAAAATCTAAAAATCTAAAAATCTAAAAATCTAAAAATCTAAAAATCTAAAAATCTAAAAATCTAAAAATCTAAAAATCTAAAAATCTAAAAATCTAAAAATCTAAAAATCTAAAAATCTAAAAATCTAAAAATCTAAAAATCTAAAAAGATTCCAAAAAAAAGAAAAATATACAAAACATCCAATGAAAGCACCTTAAATGTATAGTTATTTAACAACGTGCCTATTGCATTTACCTTAAAATTTGCCTTTCTCCTTCAGAAATCAGTAAACACACGAAAGCCGAAACAAAAGTATAGTCGGTAACATACTTCACCGAAACAAACTTGTGATTTGACTTTCTCTTTGTTGAACACGGTAAACAGAATGCAGCGGTGTCCTTTGAATTTGTATAATAAATTTTTCATTTGGAAGTTGTAAACGTGGGTGAACACAAAAGGCTGGTGAGAACGTTAACTTTTTTAATTAGTTGCTGTCAGGCACGGTGGAATGAAATTAGCTTTTTTACAGGCAACGAAATGCGATTTAATAAGCGTAATTGAGATTATTTCTACGTGGCGAGGTACAGGTGATAAACGTGTTAAATGTAGACTGTTTAACGCGATAAAGGTATTATTACATCTTATCCTTTTGATTTATAGGTTTTTAGTGATAACGGTGCTTTAACCCTTGCTGTTTTATATTAATGTGTAATTCGTGTGAATATGTGTGCATATGTGTGCATTTATGTGTATGTTTGAATGTATGTAATTTACATGTGATGATTGTAGGTATTGATTAAAAGAAATTGGTGAAGTAGGTATAGAAATTTGTTATAATGATCTGATGTAGAAATATTCATGTATAGAAATATATATGTATGTTTCATGTGTAAAAGACATGTGGAAAATTATACATATATGGGAACATTTCTAATCAAATATTTTAACAATCGATTATTGCAGAGAAGAATATATTGAACACGTGTCTATCTTTTGGTGAAAACATATTAACAATATGTAACAATGTTTGATATTGATTATCCATTCATGTAGACACAACTCTGCATTCATATGTGGGGTTGTTAATCACATGTGTTTATACTTGACAAAATATTTCATAAATCTAATTACTGTAATAGAAAAATGTTGAATATTTTGTCTTTCTTTTAGTAAAATACTGGTTGTTACATATTGGACATTGATTGACTATATGAGTTAGGGGTGGAAGATCACATGTGTTCATATGCAGTAAATCACATATGTATATATTTGATAAAATATTTCAAAAAATAATTATTGTAACAGAGAATATTGATCGTCTCATCTTCTACTAAAACACTGATATATATTAGATATTGATTATCCATATGAGGAAGAGGTAGAAAATCACATATGTTCATATGCAACAAATTACACATGTATATACTTCGTAAAATAATTAAGAAAATAATTATTGTAACAGAAAATATTGGATATCTCATGTAGTATTAAAACATTGATTATAACATATTAAATATTGATTGCCCATATGAATAAGGGGTGGAAGATCACATATGTTCATACGAAGTAAATCACATATGTATATGCTTCGTAAAATAATTCAGAAAATAATTATTGTAACAGAAAATATTGGATATCTCATGTAGTATTCAAACATTGATTATAACATATTAAATATTGATTGTTCATATGAGTAAGGGCTTGAAAATCACATATGTTCATATGCAGTAAATCACATATGCTTACACATGAAAATATTCGAAAAATATAATTACTGTACTAGGGAATATTGAACGTTCTATCTTCTATTAAAACATTATTACATATTAGATATTAATTATCCATATGAGTAATCATATGAATAAAAATCACATATGAAACTCACATACATTTATACTACATAAACCACATATGTCCACACATGATAATATTCCAAAAATATAATTACTGTACCAGGGAATATTGAACGTCCCTTCTTCTATTAAAACATTGTCACATATTAAATATTGATCATATGAGTAATCATATGAATAAAAATCACATATGAGTCACATACGTTCGTACTACATAAACCACATATGTCCACACTTGAAAATACTTCAAAACCATAATTACTGTAATAAAAAACAAAAAATTAACCATAGAACTTCCTCACAAAATCTGTAAAATCCCATAAATCCCCAAAAATTCCAAAAAATGAAGACCAGTCAGTTTATAAGGAACGCAGTTAATTGAGTATCCATGGAAAAAAACGCGAAAAAAAAAGAAAGGGGTGAATCTGACCTCGTCATCGACTTAAGTGGGGTATCATTCGATCGCGCACTTTTCCCTCGTAGAATCATCCCCCTGTTTACGCAGCTGGAGATCGAAGGAGTGGGGCGGGCATTTTCGTTATACCTGACCTCGGCGACGACTTTGTACTTTGTTCGGAACGAGTCAGTCGCGCTTTGCCTTTCGCTTGGGCAACATCGTCGGAGCTCGCTCGTCCTCGTGTTCTACAACCCCCCGTGACATACCTCTTCCTTCGTGAATTATTCCGTTCGTTATTTTGCCGGGTGTGTTGGGTGACAATTTACGGAAACGCGTGACGGTGCTTGCAAGGGTTGTGCACGTATGCGTTTGTCTGTGTGTGGTGATCTCCGGGTTTTTTTACCGGTCGAGGAAACCGGCTGATCTATCGCCAGGGTGTTTTGGATGCCTTCGGAAACCCCTGGGTCTCGTCTGAACCGGCGCTGACGCGAAATTCTGCGGGAAAAAGGTAAGGCGATTTATCTATTGCTTCCGATATCTCCGCTTGATTTCTCACAGGAATTGAGCTGTTAACTCTTTCGCTACGGACCTTGTAATATGCAGGAACAAATCGATCTTCCCGTATTTGATAAATGTTATGGGTGTCCTGCGAATTGCGCCGTTTTGGTAGACAGTCGACGTTTATTACCCTTTTTAATCCTTCACAAATTTAACGAACCTTTAACAAAATTTTGATAGTTTTGATTATTTGGGGAAATTTTTGTTTACAAATTTTGGATCATTTTTTGAATATTGAGTGCTGTATTTTGTGTCTTGTGTTCATTATTTTTGGGGGTGGTTATTTTTTATTTTATTTATTGCTGAGTAATATTTACATTCATTATTTTTGGGGGTGGTTATTTTTTATTTTATTTATTGCTGATTAATATATAAATTCATTATTTTTGGGGGTGATTATTTTTTATTTTATATATTGCAATTTGATAGACATGTAAGTTTACATACTCGAATATTTAATTTTATATATTGCTTTTTGACAGACATTTAATTTTACGTACTCGAATATTTAATTTTACATATTGCAATGTGACAGACATTTAATTTTACATACTCGATTATTTAATTTTACATATTGCATTTAGACAGACATTTAATTTTACATACTCGAATATTTAATTTTACATAATGCATTTTGACAGACATTTAATTTTACATACTCCAATATATCATCTTACATATTGCAATATCCCATACATTTTACATACTCGAATATTTAATTTTACATACTGCAATTTTACAAAAATTTAATTTTACATATCAGACACACGTTGCATTTTATATTTAATATATAAAACATTCCAAAACCTTTCATATTTAGAAGAAATTAATGATGAAAATTTAAAAAATATTTGCAATATTGGAATTTTATAAATATTATGTTACAGTTATTGCAAATAATGTACATTCAACCCTTAATATGAATAATTCACTACCTCCGCGTATGTAATTGGAAATTTAATATTTAAAATTTTCTATACAAGATTTTATTGCAAAAGTTTTAATCGATGTTAATTTCCTTATAAAATGTGATACTTTTTTAACATTATATGAATGTATTAATATAAATTGTTTCGCGAACAAAGTTGATGAATATTAAATTTTTATAAATGAGCAGGACTTCTGAATTTATAGTAATTATTGTTTTACTGAATTTAAAAAAAATATAAAAATAAATTGTGGTAGGAAATTGTGGAAAATATTGTTATTCTTCAATTTTTAAAAATAGAAAATATTAGCATGTGTGACATATTATATTTTAATTATAATCACGTTAGAAATTATTTTATTATTTTTTTATTATAATTACAGTTATTGACATAACATAATATTACAATAATAATCGTACTTTTACAATATAAAATATCCTGCTATTTTTAAAATATCATATTGTGCATATCAAGTAAATATTTATAGTAAATATTATAGTAAATATTAATATAGTAAATGAGTCAATATTTATAGCAAATATTATAATAAATATTAATATAGTAAATGAGTCAATATTTATAGTAAAAATTATCATAAAATTTTTTATAGTAAATATTTCAAAATATTTACAATAATTATGTTGAATTAATTTTTATCACCAACCCCTCTAAAATTTCCCCACACACATCACCCACATCAAACATTAAATTAAAAACCGCCACCTAAATTTTAATTTCCCACCTAAAACTCTGACCCAAAAATTGTTTAAACAAACCCGTCCCCAAATTAATTCACGGAAGCTTTCATCGCCTGTATTATAATGTTCCTACAACCCTCTTTTCTCTCCACTTTTTTCTCCTGTTTCAAGAATACACGAACATTTATCACGAAACAGTTAGCGAGAAAAAGCGCGGAAAGCTTTGCTCTTTAGTTTTAAATAAATTTCCTCATAAAATAAACAATGAGCTGCGTTGTTGCAATGTGAAGGCTGTTGTTGTATCAAAAGAGTTCTTGCGTTCAGCGGAAGAAAGAATAAAAACATGTTCGCCGCTTTTATTGCTTTAAACTAATTACCCGACTTGCAAGCAGTTGAAATTAAATTGTACTATCATGCTGTGGTTAAATTCCCGTTTATGCTAAATTTTTTATTCTCAACCTTTTTTTATGTTGATGCTCTCGTGATGTCATGTTTCATTCTTTTTTTCACATGTTTATTTTTTCTGATTTTATCTATTGATATTATATTTTGATTTTGTATATTGATTTTATCAATTGATTTTATTTATTGATCTTATATATTGATCTTGTATGTTGATTTTATATTTTGATTTTATTGATTGATTTTATTGATTGATTTTATTGATTCATTTTATTGATTGATTTTATTGATTCATTTTATTGTTTCATTTTATTGATTCATTTTATTGATTCATTTTATTGGTTGATTTGATTGGTTGATTTTATTGATTGATCTTATATATTGATTTTTTATCTTAATTTTATATTTTTATTTTATCCATTCATTTAATTTATTGATCTTGTATATTGATTTTATACAGTTGATCTTATATATTGATTTTATATATTAATTTTATATGTTGATTTTATATATTGAATTTTTAAATAAATTTAATAAATATATGTAACAAATTGATTTTTCAATTATGTTAAAAAAACACATTTTCTACTTCAGCTTCAAAAATGGATTCAGTACAGAAATTCCATAAATAGATTTTGTAAGAGGATTTCGCAATTAGCAGACTCCATAATTGAATTTTGCAATAAGATTTTTAGCGCAGATAAGTAGATTTCGCAATTATACGAGCTCATTTTATAAATCCATATTATACATTTTGTGAAGAGATTACAGAGAGTGTATATAGGAAGATTATAAATAGATTATAAAAATAACAAGAAGGGTGATTAATAACGATCTTATCGAGAAGTCGATTCGAAGCAGAGGAAATCGTGCGTTAAATTTGCGATTCTACCAGTAAATATCGGTAGAGTAACTGTACGGTCCATCTATCGGTGGCCATTCAACCCCCGTTGGCGGTACATACGTTTGCAACCCCTATGTCAAATATATGTATATTCGTGCGACGGATCGTAAACACTCGAACTGACCACGATCTATCTGCGATCTACGATTTGCGAGATCGCTAACGAAATGCACTCGAATGACGTCCCTTTCGTCGCGTCGGTGCAACGCGCCGAATAGTAATGCAAAATTATTACGTTGTTGCGTTTTGACTCGAAATAATCCCCCAGATTATTCGCGAAATACGTGCTACGCTTGCCGGATGAAATAATTGATTATATTTGTTGATTTCTGTGTCAGCTACTCCCGTTCAATGAAACTGGAATGTTTCAAACTTCGTATATCAATTTCCATTTTGCAATATTGAAATGTGCATCTGCATACGTACAGATATTCCTATATATTCTGTACAGTCATTGACACTAATATTTCACGGTTTTTACATCACTTTTTATTTTACATTGATATGCGAGGAACGTATGCTCGCTATGGGCATTTATTGGGGCTATAGTTCAAACCTTGTGTATCAATTTCCATTTTGCTGCAATTTGAAATATTCTTGTGGAAAAATGTCTGGGACGTTCATGGTAATATTTTAAAGATTAATTTTTGTTTTATAACAATTTTTATGTGGACAGAAGTATAGAATTAATGGTTGTTTATTCATTTTTATTTTATAAAAATTTTAATTTGGACTTTACAGAAGTATAGAAATATGTGTGAGCCTATACTTGTATACACATATGTACATTAAAGCTAGCTTAAAATAGTGGCACGTGTTCATATAGTAGTATGTTAACATATGTGAGCCTATACTTGTATACACATATGTACATTATAGTTATCTTAAAATAGTGGCACGTGTTCATGTAGTAGTATGTTAACATATGTGAGCCTATACTTGTATACACATATGTACATTATAGTTATCTTAAAATATTGGAACGTGTTCATATAGTAGTATGTTAACATATGTGAGTATATGTAGTTCTGTTCGTATATTAAGGGAGCTTCTTTGTGAAAAATATTCTTTCAAAATTCAAGTAAAAAAATTTTTAAGACGTCACTCAAAGAGCAATCTTCTGTCGGTATATTGATTTTCTGTCATATCGATCTATAACCAATAATATTTGTTGAACCACCCTAATGAACTTTGTATACATTTACAGAAATTGCAATATTTCAGACATTTTTAATTTTTATTTCGCAAGAACAATGTTCCATAGCACAGCAATATTCTATAAAATTTATCATTGTATTTATTTCTTACCATATCGACTTCTAACTATAAAAATATTTTTCATCACGACTGTAGCTAATATCAGCTATCTCTGAAACTACAATATTTTGGACTTCGTTCATTTCTCCGTTAGTGCAGTGAAATGTGAAGCTATAGAATCATAGTTATCTAGAAGCGAGCATATTTATGTGTATGTACATAGCAGTGACTTTACGACTAGGTAGGTACAGCGGAGTGGTTCGTTAGAGAATCTTGCGGTTATAAAGGAACTCCGAGATACGAACGAAAAACAAAATAGAAAAGAGTAATGAAGTTAATATCTTGTTTTCATTCCTGGTTTCTTCCTCGATGTTATGAAACTTTTATCTGTAACGTTTCTTCTTATCTGCTGGGTGCAGGAAGCTATTTGGTTAGTCTGTTTTAAGCATCTCGGTGCAGTAAAAACTTTTGAGATATCAAATTTAAACGGTCGAATGGTGGATATGGACAGTGATCTAAGGGATGATTCGAACGAAGTACAGATGTGGACGAGTGACACCCAAAGTAAAAGCTACCTTTTAGCTTCTCCATCTTTTCTGTGATTGATTCTCGAATCTTATCCGAAGGAATTTCCGTGCATCCCTCAGATAATTACTCGAAGCTTTAAATTTTACCCAGCCTCGCAGTCAGCGAGAAACACGTAAAAATGCCCGTCGTCGAGATATCACCGCGGTTTTGGTCGTTAGTTCCTTAATCGCGG